GCCCTGACCACACATAGGGAGGAGCCCTGACCACACATAGGGAGGAGTCCCACCACACAGGGAGGAGCCCTGACCACACATGGGAACCCTGACCACTCAGAGGGAAGAGCCCCTCCACACATAGGGAGAAGCTCTGCCCACTCATAGGGAGAAAACCTTACCACTCATGGGGCATAGGGGAGGAAGATTGATCACAGACAGGGAGTAACCCCAATGACCCAGGAGGGGAGTCCTGACCACAGATGGGAAGGAGCCCCACCACATATTGAAGGAGTGCTAGCCGTAAGCCTAACTCCTAACCCTAACCCCAACAATATGTTTGGTTTCCTAAATATTTACATCAAAAAAGAAATAATTATAAAAGTTAAAACAAATAAAAGACATCAGACAAAGTAGGAGAGGTATTCTATGAAGAGTCAAGTCAGGAAACAGGACAGTCTGGGGGTTGAGAGTCACACAGAGGGTTTTGTTTGGTTGTTTTTGTTGTCGTTGCTCTTGCTGTTACAGTGGTTTTGAGACAGGGTCTCACTCTGTCGCCCAGGCTAGAGTGCAGTGGTGCCATCTGGGTCACTGCAACCTCCACCTCCCGAGTAGCTGGGACTACAGGTATGTGCCACCACACCGGGCTACTTTTTGTATTTTTAGCAGAGACGGGGTTTCACCATGTTGGCCAGGTGACCACCTGACCTCAGGTGATCCACCCACCTTAGCCTCCCAGAGTGCTGGGATTACAGGTGTGAGCCACTGTGCCTGGTCTTTTTGTTGTTTGTTTTTTCAAGGTTGAGTTTCGCTCTTGTTGCGCAGGCTGGAGTGCAATGGCATGATCTCGGCTCACCACAACCTCTGCCTCCTGGGTTCAAGTGATTGTCCTGCCTCAGCCTCCCAAGTAGCTGAAATTACAGGCACCTGCCACCACACACAGCTAATTCTGTATTTTTAATAGAGACGGGGTTTCTCCATGTTGGTCAGGCTGGTCTCGAACTCCCGACCTTAGGTGATCTGCCTGCCTCAGCCTCCCAAAGTACTGGGATTACAGGCACGAGCCAGCATGCCTGGCTGGTTTTGTTTGTTTGTTTTCAAAGATTTGTTGGGTGTGGGAGAATGGGAGAAGAGGGAAAATGAAAGAGGTGTTGTTGTGGAATGGGATCTCATGTAATGTCATCCAAGTGACCCAAATAAGCATGAGGGCTACTTTCCAGTTACATTTGGTTTCCTGGCCTCGGCCGGGGCACTGTAAGCCAGTCACGCGGCCCGTGGCTCGCCTGTGCATCCTGGAGCCCTGGGCTGCAGTATTACTGAATTCTGCCAAGAGAAGGCCACACATGTCTCATAGAAAAGGCAAGGCTATTCCCAGTGTCCGTCTCAGGGCGTTAGGAAAATAGAAAGGCCGGTGCTCCTTGGAGAGGGTGAAGTCTGCTGCTCCTTTGATCGAGATTGGAGCTTTCCGGTCTGTGGGCTTTGGTTCCTGAGGGCAACGGATTCTCTGCAAAGGCCCAGGAAGCCATGGATGTACTTTCCATGACTTGTCTGTCAAAGACTCAGGGTGAAGAGTTCCCTCAGGGGAGGAGAGGTGGGCGGCCAGATGGGGCAGGGCCACTGGCGCAGGAATTATCGTCAGTGCTCCAGTCTCCCTGTGGGATTGGTGTCCGTGTTATTATGAGCCAGCGAATGCTGAAAGCACACCTCAGCAGGAACCAACGAAGAGTCCGTTGTTTTTTGAACGAGAATCAGAATGAATCCAGTTCTGTGCCCCAAACAGAGATGGACAGACACCAGACATATGAAATGCATTCCGTGTCTCCGAGGGGAGAGAGGCTGAGCTGAGAGTGGGAAAGTTTTCCTGGAACAAGAGTTCCTTGAAGCGCGGATGCGCCCAGGGCCTAGAGATCGCAGGTGCACGTGCAGGCACCGTTCGTGCCCTGCTGCTGGAGCTGGGATGTTTGTCCCCTCCAATCCCAAATTCAACTCTGAATGTTGGAGGTGGGCCTAATGGGAGGGGTTTGGGTCCTAGGGGTACATCCCTCATGAATAGATTAGTGCTGAGGAGTGGAGGGAGTGAGCTCTCGCTCTGTTAGTTCCTGAGAGAGCTGGCTGTTAAAAAGAGACTAGGGACTCCCCTCCCCTCTGGCCATGTGGCCCCTTCCCCTTCCCCATGAGCAGGAGCAGCAGATGCCGGCACCATGCTTCCTGCACAGTCTGAGAACCTCTTTTCTAGAAACTACCCAGCCTCAGGTATTCCTTTACAGCAACACAGATGGACTAGACGCCTGCCTACCCACACGGCCGGGCAGAGGGGAGGATGCAGGCGTCTGTGAGGAGCTGCCGGGCGAGGCTTTACTGGGAGGTGCGTGGTCCTCCTTTCAGGTGAACTCAATCTGGACCTTGGGTCAACCCTTTCCTGGATGTGGTTAAAAATGAAAGATTATTGAAAAATGTGCTCAAGGATTACTGGATTTAAAGCAGCATCCACACCAGTGTAATGTGTGGAAGAAAAATACGGAACACAAGCATAAGGAGTTAAAGAGGAAAACAGAGTTGTGCGGTGTAAAGGGTTTGCATGCTGAGTAGTAACATCCGAATTCGGGGAATGAACTAGTGGGTCCCCTTCCCCACCCTCTGCCACGTGTGGGTCCCCTTCCCCGCCTTTCCCACAGGGGTGCCCTCTGCCACGTGTGGGTCCCCTTCCCCGCCTTTCCCACAGGGTGCCCTCTGCCACAGGTCTTGTGGTTCCTCCTGTCGAGGTGCGGTGTTGTATTTCAGCAACCTGCGCATCTCAATTTTGCCACAGACATGCTTTGGTCAAACGGAGTTAAGCAGGCGCTTGGAAAAGTGCTTGTTTCTCACAGCCCCCAGCTCAGGCTGTCCCAGGCCAGCCAGCAGCCCGATGGGGGAAGCTCAGCCCAACCAGAAGAACCCACAGGTCACGTCACCGACCCACAACTGCCTGAACTCAGTAAAGGCCTTTTGCCGGGTGAACCAGGGCTCCTCACTCTTCATAATGCAGCGTTCTTGTGGCAATAGATAAACGGTACGGAAGTGGTATCTAGTAATTAGAGGCTTCTCTAAAATACCAAAAACGTGGCGTGGTTTTGGGGAGCTGGTGGCTGGCAGCACTCACAGTGGAATGTGGAGAAATGAAGAGGAAACTGATAAAGGAGGTTGGGAAGATGGTGGCTTGGGGGATGAAGTGGCACAGAGTGTTGCTGGTGGAGACATGGAAGATACAAAATGTGTTTAATGAACATGAGAGACTTCGCAAGATGACTTCCAGGCTGAATGGCGAAGGCCAGCGGCTGCTTCTGGCTGAGGATAAGGCACCACAGAAAGGAGAGGAACTGGGAAGAGAAGATGCCCGTTTTCAGACAGTCTGCAGGGGACACACAGCAAAGAAGGGTGAGCAAACTCCGGAAGGCACTAAAGAGTAGACACTGGGCTCTGCGGGGCAGCTCCTCCCTGCAGCACGGCTCCACTCTGCTGTCGTGCAATGAAAACAGGCAGAGGCAACGTGTAAACAGACGGGCATGTATGTGCTCAAGGAAGAACGTAGGGACACTGAATGTTGAGTTTTAAATGATTTTCATGCTTTATGAAATATTCTTCTTTTGGGTTTTTCTCCCCCAACCATTTAAAAGTGTTGGCTGGGTGCACTGGCTCACTACAGGTAACCGTAGCACTTTGGGAGGCTGAGGCAGGAGGATCCCTTGAGCCCAGGAGTTTGAGACCAGTCTGGACAACACAGTGAGACCCCCATCTCTCCAAAAAATACAAAAATTAGCTGGGGGTGGTGGCACACGCCTATAGTCCCAGCTACTTAGGAGGCTGAAAAGTGGGAGGATTGCTTGAGCCTCAGAGTTTGAGGCTACAGTGAGCTGTGATCAGCCCCCTGCACACCAGCCTGAGACCCCATCTCAAAATATAAAATAAGATTTTAAAAATGAAAGCGTAAAAGCCATCCGAAGCTCAGACAACACAGAACCAAGCAATGGAGTGGATCTGACTCCTCGTCTGTAGTTTCCTGACAGGACCTGGGGTTTTCTGGGTTGGAAAATTAAACTGTGTCTGTTCTCAAGTCTTTCTAGCTAACAAACTATTCTCAAGATAAAACAAAGCCTAGGGGCACAGAGAACATTAAGCGAGACATGGCTCAGAATAAAGGCCCACTGAGCATGTGGCTGTGGGCACCTGTGCCAAGTCCTGGGAAGAATTAAGAAAGTGCCTGGTAGGCACTCTCTGCTGGATGACAGTGACTCTAGGTGCCCTCAGGGTGCTGCTCCTCAACAGCCTAGCACACCCAAAGAGGCGGCAAAGACATTTAGGAAGTGTTACCTCAAAAAGGATGGTGGTGTGGTTTTTGGTGCACTGAGGATGTCAGAAGACATAGGAATCTGAGATCTGCACTTGGAAAACCACCGCCCATCTGAACTCCAAGATGTTCACAATGTCAAAAGGCCGCTAAGCCCTCAAGAAAGTCTGAGAAAGTTGCTCAAATGCAATATATTTAAAAAGACTTTCAAAAAAAACCCTATTTTTCAGTTGCATACTTTTTTTTTTTTTTGAGATAGGGTCTTGCTCTGGTTACATACACTTTTTTTTTAGACAGGGTCTTGCTCTGTTTCCCAGGCTGGAATGCAGTGGGGAGATTATGGCTCACTGCAGCCTGGACCTCCTGAGCTCAACCATCCTCCTGCCTCAGC